AATCTGAGATCTTACTGAAGCGAAATTATCTGGATCTCTGTGAGTTCAGCTGTCAAATTATGTTTAAGAAGGTCAATTTCGAAGATGCCAAAAAATATATTTGAAAAGGAGCAGATGTTAAAATTTGGTTCGCAGTATTCGTGGGTGGCAGTGGTTTAATCGGCTGCAGAAAAGTGAAACTTGATTTTAAGAGTTGTTTCCGAGTATTTCATGGTGCTATTAAACACATCCTTTGCAGTAATAAAATAATAAACAAAGCGATTATAACTCTTCTCTTTACTGTTTTTGTGCTCATTTAATTAGATGACCTCTCCTGAAATAATGAGCTGAAATAATCTTTAGTACACTTTTACCTTATCTTAACTTTAATATCCTATAAATGTATTCTACTTGTACGTTAAATGTGTGTTGTTGTACCAAAGCTACTCACGTCGTCTTATTCTCAAAAATTGTCTAATACTTTCAAACAACTTGTATCTTTTAAAGTTTATGTTAATTTGGGTTGGCGTAATAGTAAAAATTTTCTTCCTTCATCAGATTTAGGTAAAAAAACTTTTAGGTAAAACATAAGTTTCAAGAAAAAATGTGGTTTTTTTTACAAATTCAATGTTTCTCAAAAAATTAAATAAAAAAATTTTGTCTTCAGTTTTTTGCTTGATTTTTCAGTTAAATTTTCGCGGAAAATAGGAAAAAATACAGGAAGAAGGTTTTGAACGTGGAGTGTTTTTGTGCTAGCTAGCAATGTTATTGTGTTCTATATGTAATAATTTGACGTGACGTATTTGTTTCTTTAGACATCTTTCTGGCGACAACTTTGCTCAGGCCTTAAACTCAGGAGACGGCACATGCAATGTACCACGCCTTTCCTGTCCCCCCACCCTTTTAGCCCCCCCCCCCCACCACTAAACCCATCCTCCCCCAACCTTAGCAACAAAGTGGACCACACCTAAATAGAATTGCAGTTAATCATTATAAAACTTACCTATGTGCTACGTGCTGTTTTGTATGGACCTTTTATAGTAGTTTAATTTTATACCTAAGATGACATTAGAGGCCTACTGACTAGCTAGCAGTTGTCTTAACCTTCTGAGGTAGCTACTTTCCTTACCTGAACCTGTGCTAATAGTAAGTGAATTTATGTAATATCACGGCCAGTTCTTTAATTTTACCTGTGAACATTACCATACATACATACATGCCTACGTGTTGTAATGGTACCATGGTTTAATTAGAACTTATTAGAAACAAACCAAACTTAGTTGTAGATCTTTTTATAACAAAATATGCTCAAAGTCAGTCAAACATTCGTGCTTTAAACCAAAATCAATTCTCGACGGAACCTCTTTTTCGAACGATAAATCCTAAAAATTCTATCAGTTGCAGATGTCAAGTGCTGTTTTTTCAGTCCATTTTGTGTTTGGTCCATAAGTTATGGAATGTTATTACTGAAGATAACTAAACATAATATTAGAAACTGTTGAAAGAAACTTAAAGTTGCCTCAAACTTCAGTGCTTTACGATTCAGTGACGAGGATTCGTTTTTAAAAATTGAGTAAAACTTTGGCGGAAGATTATCAACTGAGAACAGCTATTGATCGTTGTTGTGATAATTTAGCTTAGATTTGTTTTGATACCCAAGTTCAAAACTTTGAGTAAATTTTACACATTTTCTTGCACTGTAATTGCCGTACGTATATCATCTCTTATCATCATGAGTCATACTTTATGTTCTGATGTCGTAAGTGTTCAAAACCTCTAATGTGCTAGAATCTTAAAAAGTGACGAGCAAAGCTTTTCGGTTTTTAGTTACGAGTGCGTTTTTAGTTGTGTCATTCCATCAAACGCAGTGTGAAGTTGAAGCTCTTCTGATCACGGAATTGTGCACTTTAATTTTCCAAAATTCAATTTTTCGCAAAAAAGCTCACAAAAATCAGAAAATCCGAAAAAAAACATCAAGATGTTTTCTAGCATCATAAAAACATTGTTTGAGATTTTTTATTGAATCTGATGATATATCAAAAATTAAAGTAACCATTGTTGGCTTTTTGGATAATTTTCAGTGCAACCCAAGCCAAACCAAACCTCGAAAATCAAATCAATCCACATGGCGTAATATTTGATATATTGTTCAGTAATTTTCAGTCTTTAACTTCCGTTAATTCTTCCTATTTTTCCTCATCCGATGACCGATTACGCAATAGCTACACGTGATCAGAAGATGATTTCATTCTCCTTCCTTGTTCATTGACCCTTCATTGAGCTTATTTGGCTAATTTCACTCCGCTTTTTTAGTTGGCGTTTATTGCTGTGATAATTCGATGTTAATGTTAGTTATTCCACTAATGTACAAAAGTCAATACCCCCTTTTTCTGTTTCAACCGAAAGAAAAGAAATAGAAAATCATACCATTTTGTTTCAACCGAAAGAAAAATATTAATACCAGTTCATATTGACCGACAATATGCCTAGCTATTAAATGCAGTGAGTGAAGCAAAGCAAAGACTTGTTTCTTTTTTTTCTGTATTGCCTGTTGTTATCAGCAGTTCCTATATTTTATGCCGCCAGCAAAAATTAATTTTAAAGTGACAGTGAACTCTGTTTTCATTACTCTGAGTTGAAACCAGGACAAAGAGCAGATATTTAAAACAACCCAAGTACAAAATTAATGAAAATCGTAATATTTACC